CATCATCAGGGTTAATCGTTGGCAAACACACCTGGCTTCTATTTCAAGGATAATTGCGTGTCACATGATCAAGCAAGAAAACACGTCAGAAAATCTATGAATCAGTACCTAGTACAATAGAATGCATCTACATTATATACAAAAAATACAAGAACAGACAGAGAAATATCATACATTATTGCTTTTACATATATCATGTGAACATTGTCCTCCCGAGTGGTGCAGTGGTCTAAGGCATTGCATCGCAGTGCTAGCTGTGCCACTAGAGATCCTGGTTCGAATCCAGGCTCTGTCGTAGCCGGCCGCGACTGGGAGACCCATGGGGCGGCGCACAATTGGCCCAGCGTCGTCCAGGGTAGGGGAGGGAATGGCCGGCAGGGATGTAGCTCAGTTGGTAGAGCATGCCATTTGCAACGCCACGGTTGTGGGTTTGATTCCAGTATTAAAAATGTATGCACTCACTAACTGTAAGTCGCTCTGGATAAGAGCGTCTGCTAAATGACTAAAATGTAATGTAAATGTAACATTTCCTCTGAATAAGAGTAGGGAGCTAGTGATACCACTAGATGGGGGTATCGAACACCAATAACAGGCAATATACCAGTTACAGAAAACACTATAATAACAATTCTTCATTCATGCCTGATGGGTGGAGAGTTTTTAAATAGAACATCCACCTGCATTCTGTCTGGAGATGACTAAATTCAAGATTACCAACCCTACGTGAACGTTTTATCTGCTGTATAGCATGGAGGAGACAGGTTGACCGGCCTCTGAGAAATGACGTGCAATAGTGGATTTAGGTTAATTTCTCTCAGTCTACTGGTTTTGCCCACATATTGCATGGACAACAGATAAGGTACAGTGAGGGAAAAAAGTATTTGATCCCCTGCTGATTTTGTACGTTTGCCCACTGACAAAGAAATTATCAGTCTATAATTTTAATGGTAGGTTTACTTGAACAGTGAGAGACAGAATAACAACAAAAAAATCCAGAAAAACGCATGTCAAAAATGTTATAAATTTATTTGCATTTTAATGAGGGAAATAAGTATTTGACCCCCTCTCAATCAGAAAGATTTCTGGCTCCCAGGTGTCTTTTATACAGGTAACGAGCTGAGATTAGGAGCACACACTTAAAGGCAGTGCTCCTAATCTCAGCTTGTTACCTGTATAAAATACACCTGTCCACAGAAGCAATCAATCAGATTCCAAACTCTTCACCATGGCCAAGACCAAAGAGCTCTCCAAGGATGTCAGGGACAAGATTGTAGACCTACACAAGGCTGGAATGGGCTACAAGACCATCGCCAAGCAGCTTGGTGAGAAGGTGACAACAGTTGCTGCGATTATTCGCAAATGGAAGAAACACAAAATAACTGTCCATCTCCCTCGGCCTGGGGCTCCATGCAAGATCTCACCTCGTGGAGTTGCAATGATCATGAGAACGGTGAGGAATCAGCCCAGAACTACACTGGAGGATCTTGTCAATGATCTCAAGGCAGCTGGTGCCATAGTCACCAAGAAAACAATTGGTAACACACTACACCATGAAGGACTGAAATCCTGCAGCGCCCGCAAGGTCCCCCTGCTCAAGAAAGCACATATACAGGCCCGTCTGAAGTTTGCCAATGAACATCTGAATGATTCAGAGGAGAACTGGGTGAAAGTGTTGTGGTCAGATGAGACCAAAATCGAGCTCTTTGGCATCAACTCAACTTGCCGTGTTTGGAGGAGGAGGAATGCTGCCTATGACCCCAAGAACACCATCCCCACCGTCAAACATGGAGGTGGAAACATTATGCTTTGGGGGTGTTTTTCTGCTAAGGGGACAGGACAACTTCACTGCATCAAAGGGACGATGGACGGGGCCATGTACCGTCAAATCTTGAGTGAGAACCTCCTTCCCTCAGCCAGGGCATTGAAAATGGGTCGTGGATGGGTATTCCAGCATGACAATGACCCAAAATACACGGTAAAGGCAACAAAGGAGTGGCTCAAGAAGAAGCACATTAGGGTCCTGGAGTGGCCTAGCCAGTCTCCAGACCTTAATCCCATAGACAATCTGTGGAGGGAGCTGAAGGTTCGAGTTGCCAAACGTCAGCCTCGAAACCTTAATAACTTGGAGAAGATCTGCAAAGAGGAGTGGGACAAAATCCCTCCTGAGATGTGTGCAAACCTGGTGGCCAACTACAAGAAACGTCTGACCTCTGTGATTGCCAACAAGGGTTTTGCCACCAAGTACTAAGTCATGTTTTGCAGAGGGGTCAAATACTTATTTCCCTCATTAAAATGCAAATCAATTCATAACATTTTTGACATGCGTTTTTCTGGATTTTTTTGTTGTTATTCTGTCTCTCACTGTTCAAATAAACCTACCATTAAAATTATTGACTGATAATTTCTTTGTCAGTGGGCAAACGTACAAAATCAGCAGGGGATCAAATACTTTTTTCCCTCACTGTACATGCACAACGTTAGAAGAGCTGCATGTGAGGAACTGTTTGATAGCGTACAGTGGCGATTTTAGCATGTAAATCTTGGTGGGGGAAAAAATAAATAAATTGGGGGATGCATGCCAGCAAAGCCACTACACAACACAACACTAAACAATACATTAATTGCATTATAACGGTGATAAACGGTGCCCACAAACTGTTAGGGCCTACATAAAGCTGTCCCAACAGCAGAGTCCCAACAGCAGTCCCAACACCCTACCACTGCTACACCTGGCTATCAGCGGAGCCTTGTCTGGCAGCAAAACAGTTCATTCAGCCTAATTTACTGCCTTTAAAAAAAACATAGCGGATATGACTGACTTGCGTAAACAAATGTGGTTTCTACTGACAATTGAGATGTACAAACTATGGCATAACGGGACGACAAGCAGATAAGAGGCAATCCGTAATTTCGATTAAGACATTAATGAGTGATCTAGGATGGACGTAGTCAATATAACTACTTGTTCAGCACTTTTGAAATGTACAGCGACAGAATTCAGAACATGGGCCGTTCTTACAGTGTTCTCCCTGTACACCAAGTCAGAACCGTAGGATAAATAAAGGGAGCATATAAGCAGACAATAAAAGCTCTTACAATATTCCATGAATACATTTCTCTAAAACAGGTTATAGGCTACATGTGCACCACCAAGTCAGAACAGTAGGCGAAATTAAGAGGGGAAAATAGACCAAATTATTAGGGTGAGGCACATGGGCTACTAACAGTTTACTACACAACATACACTTAGTATTACTTTCTTAGCTACAGTATACATATCTCCCTGGCATATTACATCATTTACGCAGCAGCATACAATACATTTTTGGACTCACCTTGTTGTGCTGTGCTCAGTTGAACAGGAAGGTGGCGCTGCGGTCCTTCCTGGGCAAATTTTGTCATCAAACTTTGTCATCAAAGTCTGGCATTCTCGCGATTTATGGTGCTTTCAAGACAACTGGGAACTTTGAAAAAAAAAACAAGGTCGAATCATGATGATGTCAGTGATCTTCAGGTCGTAGCTCTAGAAAGAGGCCAGAGTTCCCGACTTACAATTCCGAGTTGGATGACCATTCGAAACCTATTTTGCCAGTCGGAGCTCGTTTTTTCCCGAGTTCCCAGTTGTCTTGAACTCACTGAAGTCAGATTTCCCAGTTCCGAGTTTTGAGCGGGGCAGAAATCATGCTGGATTGACAGCATAGCCAATGTTGAATGTTTTATAATTTTAAACTTGGAAAAGAGATCCTTAAACCCAGACTTGGACCACACATCCACTCCACTGAATTGCAGGCTAGTGATTGCTTTGCAATGCTTGCAGTTAGCCACTGATTCCTTCCAAACCACTCATTGTTGAATATGCGATTTCGAACTTATATAAAACGCATCGGTGCTCATCGGCCATTGGACATAGACATTACACAACAAGTTGGAAATCGCAAATTCAACAATGAGAGGTTTGGAAGGAATCAGTGGCTAACTGCAAGCATTGCAAAGCAATCACTAGCCTGCAATTCAGTGGAGTGGATGTGTGGTCCAAGTCTGGGTTTAAGGATCTCTTTTCCAAGTTTAAAATTATAAAACATTCAACATTGGCTATGCTGTCAATCCAGCATGATTTCTGCCCCGCTCAAAACTCGGAACTGGGAAATCTGACTTCAGTGAGTTCAAGACAACTGGGAACTCGGGAAAAAACGAGCTCCGACTGGCAAAATAGGTTTCGAATGGTCATCCAACTCGGAATTGTAAGTCGGGAACTCTGGCCTCTTTCTAGAGCTACGACCTGAAGATCACTGACATCATCATGATTCGACCTTGTTTTTTTTTTCAAAGTTCCCAGTTGTCTTGAAAGTACCATAAATCGCGAGAATGTCAGACTTTGATGACAAGGTTTGATGACAAAGTTTGCCCAGGAAGGACCGCAGCGCCACCTTCCTGTTCAATTGAGCACAGCACAACAAGGTGAGTCCAAAAATGTATTGTATTCTGCTGCATAAATGATGTAATATGCCAGGGAGATATGTATACTGTAACTAAGAAAGTAATACTAAGTGTATGTTGTGTAGTAAGCTGTTAGTAGCCCATGTGCCTTACCCAGTAGCAATTTTAGCATGTAAATCTTGGTGGGGCAAAAAATAAATAATGTGGAATGCATGTCAGCAAAGCCACTACATAACACAACAGTAAACAATACATTAATTGCACTATAACGGAGACAAACGGTGCCCACAAACTGTTAGGGCCTACATAAAGCTGCTCTGGATAAGAGCGTCTGCTAAATGACTAAACTGTAACTGTAAACTGTCCCAACACCTTAACACTGGTACACCTAGCTATCAGCGGAGCCTTGTCTGGCAGCAAATGCGGGCTGCAGTTGCACACTTGCGCCGTTCTTATATAGATCAGTGAATTGCGCTGATATGCGTAGCACTACGCAGACCTAACGCTCTCAAACGAAGTACTTCCGCCCAGACGGTACGTCATCAATACTGGCGGTATTTTGAAAATGAACTAGCTAGCTAGTCGTGAAGTTGACAGCTGTATGATATAGTGAAATACTATACGTTTTAAGAAAATAAGCCAGCTAAATATTTCAAATATGGTAGGTGTACATGTTGTTTGACAAAGTGATAAACAGTCGATTTCCAATAGCTGCATTTTCTCCTATTTGTAACGTTAATGATATCACTTGTTTACAGTCGGTAATGCTATCTATTTCACTGCTAACCTTTGCTAGCTAACGTTCGTTTGCTTATTTTTGAGGTTTTGGTAGCTACCTAGCAGCTGTAATGTTTCTGCTAAGAGTACTTCCTGCTTTTACTGCTTTCGTGTTAAAAAAAAAATACTTTGTTTGTCTGAAATTTTCATTAGAATTGCTGAGGAAGCTGGCTATCTAATTTACTAAACTAGCTAACTTAATCTGATTTGCTAGTAAGACTTCAAGGTATTTTCGTAACTCACCAAAGTAAGATGTTGGTAGAGTGCTGACGAACATTTCTCTGTATGCGCCTGGTGTAATTTTTCCAAAACATGAATAAACTACTTTTGAAAATGTTCCGCCAAACTCACTGGTCCACGCTATAGTGCAGATCCAACGCATGCGCGTGGACCAGAGCTAACTAGTTACCCACTTGTTGATAACAATATTGAGAATTTCTTGATTTCAGAGTTCCAACGAGGTACAACAGGAGAATGTAAGTACGGTAGCCCAATCTGAGCCTTTGTAAATTACAATAATTTATCCATTCAACATGCATGTCCTAATTCTGACATTTTTGTCTCAGGGACAGCCACTGGACACAGAGTCAGAGGTCCAGGATACTCCAGCACCACCTGCCATTCCTTTCTACACAGAGTGCTCGGAGGCTGCACAGGCAGAACTGTTGAATGAGTGTGAAGAGCAGTTTGCCCAGCTGCAGATGGTACTGGTTCTGATCTGTTTACAATGACAGCTTGGTTCTGCACAGACACCTTTGGATGATGTGATATTATTGTGTTAATGTTAAAATTGTATATTCTGTTTGTTTTTCAGCTTCAGAACGAGATCATTCTCGCAGAGCCAGACTCGGATGAAAACCCACAAGAACAGGTCAGAGATTGCCCTATTTCCCTATAGCTGAATGAAAGCATTAGTATGTGTGATGCATGTACTTTTTACATTATCTTGCCTTATCTGCTGCATATCTGTTATTTGTCCAACAGTCTGTGAATAGATTGACAGCTGTAGCAGCTGAGCTGAAGCAGTGGCAGACAATACAGCCAGAACGTGAGTGTCTGGTTTCTACTCGGAATATAATTCCTTTATAACTAATTGATTGTAAATATACTGTATGACTGAAACATAAGCATATGTAACATCAGAATGTGGTTTACTTTCTATCCATAGTGTTGTCCACAAATCCTGAGGTGTTACTCGCCGTTGGAGCAGAGGAGGTAAATTGACATGTGGATGTTGTCTTCCACAGTAGTAGTTACTGTTGGAAATTTTTCAAAAATATCAATAATATATTTGTATGCAGTTACCTTTTAATATAGGTATTTCAGATATCAGCTATTTTACAGTTATACAAAGCCTTATGCTTATGAAAACTAACCATATTCATGTTCAACAAGTTTATTTAAAAAAACTATTATTTCCTACTTCCACAGTTACAGAAGCTGAATTCACAACTGGAGTTGGTCCTCTCCTGCTCACAAGCCAAGAGAGACACTCTGAGAGAGACTTTAAAAAGGTATTGTTTGAATGTGATTGTCTTTTAGATTGTTATTCTAAATCTCCAACCCTTTGAATGTTGATATGGAGACAGTAGATTTTACAGTATAGATCTGTGTTCCTGTTTCAGTGAACAGAAGTGGTTGGAGGAAAAGAAGGAAGTGTTGAGGGCAGGCACTGAACATGTGGTCAAACAGCGACTGGAAAACGAAAGGTTATCAGAACACAGGTACTTGACAACAACTGGGCCATGTTTGTTAGGGCACACTGTAAATTTAACATTTTACAATGGTAAAGAAAAACAAATGTTTTTTATTGGACAAGTTCAGATTGTACCTCCCCATTTCACTACATTTTGGAGTGTTTTCTTCGGTTTCCTGCCTATGAATATGACCCTGAATAATAGAAAATTACACATAAACCAACACATTGAAAACTATCCTGAGTTTAATATGGAAGTGCTGCTGTCGTTCAGTGTGTTGCAGGACACCAAGAAGAAGATCCAGAAGATGAAGGATTACCAGGACAGACTGATGGAGACCCTGGCAGATGTACTGGAGGAACACTTCCCACTTCCTACACAAGAGACCAACGCTAACAAGAAGAAAAAGGTGGTAGTCTAAGTGATGTATTATGTGGCACTGATGGAGGGGTTCCTCAATGGTCCCATATTGTTTTCTACAGTGGCATCTAGCCTCGTCTCAGATCTGTTTGTGCTGTGTAGCCAACCTTCATGTCTGTTGGGCAAGAGAGCACAAACAGATCTGGGACCAGCCTAGATGGCATGATTTTTGTGTCCATTTTCAGAACATTCCTCAAGAGCTGAACGAGAATCTAATTTCGCTCAATGAAATCCTGGAGGTAAGTCTCTGTTCGCATGCATTGTTTGTGTTTTATTATTCAACCCGGTGCTCTGTTTTAATTTTGTATTACTTTATTGCTACATGCTTGAGCCAGTAGCAGCTTTATAGTCTAGCTTTATATGACCATCTATATTTTACACTTACATCTTTGTAATGTAGATCAACTTGATCACAGTACAACAAATGGCATAAAAACAACCCTACTCACCTCTTGCTCTAATTGAACAACAACATCAATTGTCATCTTAAACCCTTATCTTAATCTTAAACCTTATCTTCCATTGTTAAAATGTGCAGCTGCTGATGAACAAGACTTTGGAGACGCCTCACGATCCCTACATATTGATAGACGAGACGTTCTGGCCCCCGTACACAGAAATGCTGCTGCGCTACGGCATTGCACTGAGACACCCAGAGGACTGTTTCAAGATCCGCCTGGAAACCTTTTATTAACAGGAACTGGTCAGACATTTTGGATCCAGTTTGGTCAGCGTGTATAGCAGCCTGATCCCAGATGTTTATGTTGTCTTGCCATCTCATTGTCATGCCATCTACCATAAGTGTTGGTTATGCAGTACAAACAGATCTTGGACCAGGCTTGGTGTATAGTAATATCATGAGTATGTATTGAGATAGTGGCTTGATACGTCACTGGTTTATAGTGTTATTTCCTGTATGTTTCACAATACATTAACCTTTTGTATGTTTTTTTATATGTTAAAGATGGATGTTGCTCTCTCTGGCTACTGGAACACAATGTGATTATGCATACTTTGGATATGGGGAAACCTTAAATTGTTATTGTGTATATATTTCCATGTATCAATGTATGTCAGATTTGTTCTTAATAAAATGAAAAATCATAACAAAAAAGACAGACATTCGTTATTCACTGTAGCACTTTGTTCTAATCTGAAGAACAGAAAACAACATCTTGATACATCAGTACTTGATTCACAGCAGTCTATTTATAACTCAAGTACATAAGAACTTGTATCATATTTTTGCATATATCTACAGAAATTCTTAAGGAAAGAGAACCTGAACCTACAACACATTGAAAAATGCTTAAAATTCATTGTCAAGAAACCCTGACGTGCGTCAGCAGTTTACGTCATCTCCAGCATCCAATCCCGAGAGCCGTTTAAGCATGTTCACTCCCCTCCCAGGAGTTCGTGCATTCTTGTGGGCGGAGACGAAATTTCGGTTCCGGGTATTTTTTATACTTCTCTCGAAGGCGTCCATTTGTCTGATTATGGTCTTAAATCATAAAGTTCTACAAATTCACGAACGTTCAAGGTAGAAAACAGTTTTATTGAAAGAACAAACAGAATATCAGCAAAGATGACGACCCGATCAGAGAGAGAGAAGGCCCTGAAACTCAACGAGCAGCATCAGGCCATTCTGTCCAAAATGCTGAGAGAGGACGACAACAAATACTGCGCCGATTGTGAGGCGAAAGGTAACTATATAACACGATGTAAACTTCGTTAAATTATGTGTCATTTGATGTTACATTACTGTTCCAGTTTCAGTTATTCGTCTAGCCAGACTCAGACTGAGTTGTTAGCTAGCTATGCTATGCTAACTGTATGTAGCAGCTAGTCTGCTGACACCTTCCTTCCTCTTTAGCATTTAGCCGGTAGCAACTAGGCTAGCTAGCTTGCAAAGCTATGCTAGGTAGCATTTTGTCTCCCACCACACCCCATGATCCAAACTTTAGTCATACATGTAAATGCAAGTTTCTACACCTTTGCACCATGAAAGTCACCACTGGGAAACTATCCCTAAATGTCAAAACATGTCACTCTAAAATAATACACAGGGAAGACATGCCAATCTGAAGTCCTGTTGTGACACCTGCCCCACAGGTACAGACATGTTTTGATAAGTGAATCTTCCCTTACCTGGGTCGTGATCATTAGACACCTAACAGAAGAGAACGGACTGAAACCGGGAGGGACTACCTGAACTTGTTCTGTTGCAAAACATTTAGCTTCGATGTGCACTAACGAGTACGACGCTGTCTCTGCCTGCCAGGTCCAAGATGGGCATCATGGAACCTGGGAGTGTTTATCTGTATCCGATGTGCTGGCATCCACAGGAATCTTGGGGTACACATATCACGGGTAAAATCTGTCAACCTGGACCAATGGACAGTAGCACAAATACAGGTAACTAGCCAATGTCCAAGATTTATAATATTCATAAATTGGACATTTGGGATGTCATATATTGACCTATATTTATTGACACTGACACCTCTCTTTCTTGTATATCCTACTGGCCGAATACAAAGTTGCCTTATTAACCCATACTTATCATGTCCCTCCTGCTGTTTCACTATCCACCCTCCACCCCTCTTTCTCTCTATCTCTATCTCTCCCTCTTGTCTCACAGAGCATAGTAGATATGGGCAACTCCAAGTCCAGGCAGCTTTATGAGGCCAACCTTCCAGACAACTACAGAAGGCCCCAGACAGACCAGTATCCTTACAACCACACACACACACACACACACACACACACAGTCTCTCTCTCTCACACACACACACACACACACACACACACACACTGTGGTTCCCAAAAAGCTTCCCATAACACAGATACTTAACCCTTTTATAATATTGCTAATTTTTTTCCTTAACCCCTGACCCCAGAGCAGTGGAGTTCTTCATCAGGGACAAGTATGAGAAGAAGAAATACTACAGCAAGAATGTGACCAATGGAGGCAGCGTATGTATCTCTGACACCACACTCAAACTGGCTTGCGGATAGTGCTAGAATGTGTAACACTGTCTTATTTGTATTTAGATTCTCCAAAGTGTTGCTTGTTATGTGTTAGGTTAAAGGGATACTTTGGGATTTTGGCAATGAGGCCCTTTATCTACTTCCCCAGAGTCAGATGAACTCTTGGATACCATATGTATGTCTCTGTGTCCAGTTGGAGGTAGTTTCACAAGCCAATGCTAGCATCTATTTCCACAGGTGGTTATGGTGCTGCTGGGTTACTGTTATTGTGGATATGGCCTAAACATTTTGGAACATTATTCAAACAAGATTAGGCCTATATCTCACTTCCTCCATTGCTTTTTTCTAATTTCCTCTTATGATGTTCCTATACAGCCAAAAGACAAGGAGACCAAGAGAGAGAAGGAAACTGATAGAGGAACCAAGCTGTCATATAATGCCAAGGTACGGTGGTTTTTGAATGGATACATATTTAGACTCCTTATAAGATATCTGTCTCAACCCAACCCATATTCCTTTTTCGGCAATCACACTGTACTCCCTGTTTGTCTCTTTTGAGCTTTGCAGTCAGCATTATAGATTTATTTTCATTACAACTGTTCCACTCATCATGACACTCCATTCTATAGCGGTCAGGTTTTAGTTGTTTAATGGGAGCAGACTTAAAGGGCAATTCCGCCACTTTTCAACCTCATATTCATTCTCCAGCACCACACCATTGTCTACATATGTGGAAATGGCACATTTCTATGATTTGTGGTTAAAAAGATAATAAAAAATGCTTAGCTGTAACATTACAGGGTAGGATTAAAAGTAAGAAAACTGTGATTTTCAAGACTTGCAACATGTTTCTAGCCAGAGAGAGGGTATTTTCTTGCTCCCCATGTCACCAATCTCATAGTGTTTTTTTTTTTTAAATGTTTAAACTTTTTATTATGTCATCGGGTAGAACTTAGACTTTATCAATTTTTTTCTACAAAAAGTAGAAATGCGCCATTTTCACATTTGTTGACACTGGTATTGTGCTGGAGATAATGAAAATGAGGTTGAAAAGTGGTGGAGTTGCCCTTTAACAGTCTAGTATGGCAAACTGTATGGAAAACATGACTGTTAACAGGTCCGGCATTATACTAGTACTTAATATAACTATTTACAAATGTCCATGGTCACCATGTCCAGCAAATGGATTTGTTGTGGTGCATCTCACTGTGTAGTTACTTTGACGTGTTGATACATTGATGTCTTGGTGAAAAGTAGATCATCCTTGGGGTTAGGGTTAGAGTGCTGGGTGTCGAGCTCCCGGCATGTTTGTTCCTAGACAAAGCATTGAGCAATGCATTGAATGTGGTCAAGTAACCCAAGGCTGATGATGCAACTAACCTTTGACCTCTAAGAGGGCTTGACCTCTGAGGGTTTGAAATATCCCTCACATGTCTAATGAGAAGTAAACCTCAGGATCTTTGTTTCATTATGAACTAAATCTATGCTCAACCGAAGCCCTCCATATTTAGCCATTAGTCTGGAAAAAGCTTAACACGTTACTTCCAAGACTACATTATTATTTTTTCACAATCATTATGCCTTTTCTATTGGACTCCTCACCTCTGAAGAGTGAAGAGACCCGGCAAGCCCCCAAAGCCAGTCCTGTGAAGATTGCAGAACCTCCCGTCAACCTACTTGGCCTTGGTAAGACCAAACCAATCAGTTTTCCAGTCAACCAGGGTCGAATTCATTAGCAAATGGTCATATTCAGGGTTGTATTCATTAGCAAAATGTTTTGTGGCAGAAAAACGAAAATTAGAGTTTCATATTGGACAAGTTCAGGTAGTCCTTCCTGGTTTCAGCCCGTTTCCTTTCGTTTGGTGCCTATTGAATACGACCCTACTGACAGTAAACCAGTCAGTTATTCAGACATGCTGAGTCCTGAACAATACACATTCTTCTTATGTACATTTTGTCCTCCCCTGTATAACCTGTTTTAGACTTCTCTCAGTTTTTTTAACTCTCTCCCTCTCTAGATGCTCCAACAGCGGCCCCTGCTAACAATGGTATTGCTGCTAGCACAGCAAGCAGCGACTTGGATATCTTCGGCCCCATGGTGTCCAACCCCCTCCCTTCATCTAATGCTGCTGCTCAGTTCTCTCAGGTAACACAATCTGATGACCTCACTACTTCCCTGGTCCCTATGGACACCCAGCCCCACAAACATAAATACACATACTGAACCTCTACCTGTATATTTACAGTGAGGGAAAAAAGTATTTGATCCCCTGCTGATTTTGTACGTTTGCCCACTGATAAAGAAATGATCAGTCTATAATTTTAATGGTAGGTTTATTTGAACAGTGAGAGACAGAATAACAACAACAAAATCCAGAAAAACGCATGTCAAAAATTGTATAAATTGATTTGCATTTTAATGAGAGAAATAAGTATTTGACCCCCTCTCAATCAGAAAGATTTCTGGCTCCCAGGTGTCTTTTATACAGGTAACGAGCTGAGATTAGGAGCATACTCTTAAAGGGAGTGCTCCTAATCTCAGTTTGTTACCTGTATAAAAGACACCTGTCCACAGAAGCAATCAATCAATCAGATTCCAAACTCTCCACCATGGCCAAGGCCAAAGAGCTCTCCAAGGATGTCAGGGACAATATTGTAGACCTGCACAAGGCTGGAATGGGCTACAAGACCATCGCCAAGCAGCTTGGTGAGAAGGTGACAACAGTTGGTGCGATTATTCGCAAATGGAAAAAACACAAAAGAACTGTCAATCTCCCTCGGCCTGGGGCTCCATGCAAGATCTCACCTCGTGGAGTTGCAATGATCATGAGAACGGTGAGGAATCAGCCCAGAACTACACAGGAGGATCTTGTCAATGATCTCAAGGCAGCTGGGACCATAGTCACCAAGAAAACAATTGGTAACACACTACGCCATGAAGGACTGAAATCCTGCAGCGCCCGCAAGGTCCCCCTGCTCAAGAAAGCACATATACAGGCCCGTCTGAAGTTTGCCAATGAACATCTGAATTATTCAGAGAAGAACTGGGTGAAAGTGTTGTGGTCAGATGAGACCAAAATCAAGCTCTTTGGCATCAACTCAACTTGCCGTGTTTGGAGGAGGAGGAATGCTGCCTATGACCCCAAGAACACCATCCCCACCGTCAAACATGGAGGTGGAAACATTATGCTTTGGGGGTGTTTTTCTGCTAAGGGGACAGGACAACTTCACTGCATCAAAGGGACGATGGACGGGGCCATGTACCGTCAAATCTTGAGTGAGAACCTCCTTCCCTCAGCCAGGGCATTGAAAATGGGTCGTGGATGGGTATTCCAGCATGACAATGACCCAAAATACACAGCCAAGGCAACAAAGGAGTGGCTCAAGAAGAAGCACATTAAGGTCCTGGAGTGGCCTAGCCAGTCTCCAGACCTTAATCCCATAGAAAATCTGTGGAGGGAGCTGAAGGTTTCGAGTTGCCAAACGTCAGCCTCGAAACCTTAATAACTTGGAGAAGATCTGCAAAGAGGAGTGGGACAAAATCCCTCCTGAGATGTGTGCAAACCTTGTGGCCAACTACAAGAAACGTCTGAACCTCTGTGATTGCCAACAAGGGTTTTGCCACCAAGTACTAAGTCATGTTTTGCAGAGGGGTCAAATACTTATTTCCCTCATTGAAATGCAAATCAATTTATACCATTTTTTGACATGCGTTTTTCTGGATTTTTTTGTTGTTATTCTGTCTCTCACTGTTCAAATAAACCTACCATTAAAATTATAGACTGGTCATGTCTTTGTCAGTGGGCAAACGTACAAAATCAGCAGGGGATCAAATACTTTTTTCCCTCACTGTACATGCACAACATATTACCTATATCTCTACATCTCAATGATGGCTCAGTTGATAGAGCATGTCGCTTGCACCGCCAAGGTTGTGCGTTCGTTTCCCATGGAGGACCAGTGGAAGAAAAAAAAATATATACAGTTGAAGTCGGAAGTTTACATCTTAGCCAAATACATTTAAACTCAGTTTTTCACAATTCCTGACATTTAATCCTATTAAAAATTCCCTGTTTTAGGTCAGTTAAGATCACCACTTTATTTTAAGAATGTGACATTTCAGAATAATAGTAGAGTGATTTATTTCAGCTTTTATTTATTTCATCACATTCCCAGTTGGTCAGAAGTTTACATACACTCAATTAGTATTTGGTAGCATTGCCTTTAAATTGTTTAACTTGGGTCAAACGTTTCGGGTAGCCTTCCACAAGCTTCCCACAATAAGTTGGGTGAATTTTGGCCCATTCCTCCTGACGGAGCTGGTGTAACTGAGTCAGGTTTGTAGGCCTCCTTGCTCGCACACGCTTTTTCAGTTCTGTCCACATGTTCTGTAGGATTGAGGTCAGGGCTTTGCGATGGCCACTCCAATACCTTGACTTTGTTCTCCTTAAGCCATTTTGCCACAACATTTTGCCACAAATGGAAGTTTGTCCATTTGGAAGACCCATTTGCGACCAAGCTTTAACTTCCTGACTGATGTCTTGAGATATTGCTTCAAAATATCCACATCATTTTCCTTCCTCATGATGCCATCTATTTTGTGAAGTGCACCAGTCCCTCCTGCAGCAAAGCACCCCCACAGCATGATGCTGCCACCCCCGTGCTTCACGGTTGGGATGGTGTTTTTCAGCTTGCAAGCCACCCCATTTTTCCTCCAAACATAACAATGGTCATTATGGCCAAACAGTTCTATTTTTGTTTCATCAGACCAGAGGACATTTCTCTAAAAAGTATGATCTTTGTCCCCATGTGCAGTTGCAAACCGTAGTCTGGCTTTTTTATGGTGGTTTTGGAGCGGTGGCATCTTCCTTGCTGAGCGGCCTTTCAGGTTATGTCGATATAGGACTTGTTTTACTGTGGATATAGATACTTTTGTACCTGTTTCCTCCAGCATCTTCACAAGGTCCTTTGCTGTTGTTCTGGGATTGATTTGCACTTTTCGCACCAAAGTATGTTCATCTTTAGGAGACAGAACGCGTCTCTTTCCTGAGCAGTATGACGGCTGCGTGGTCCCATGGTGTTTATACTTGCGTACTATTGTTTGTACAGATGAACGTGGTACTTTCAGGCCTTTGGAAATTGCTCCCAAGGATGAACCAGACTTGTGGAGGTCTACAATTTTTTTCTGAGGTCTTGGCTGATTTTCTTTTGATTTTCCCATGATGTCAAGCAAAGAGGCACTGAGTTTGAAGGTAGGCCTTGAAATACATCCACAGGTACACCTCCAGTTGACGCAAATTATGTCAATTAGCCTATCAGAAGCTTCTAAAGCCATGACATAATTTTCTGGAATTTTCCAAGCTGTTTACATTTACATTTACATTTTAGTCATTTAGCAGACGCTCTTATCCAGAGCGACTTACAGGAGCAATTAGGGTTAAGTGCCTTGCTCAAGGGCACATTTACGTCATTTAGCAGACGCTCTTATCCAGAGCGACTCACAAATTGGTGCATTCACCCTATAGCCAGTGGGATAACCACTTTACAATTTTTTTTTTTGGGGGGGGGGGGGGGGGGGGGTAGAAGGATTACTTTATCCTATCCCAGGTATTCCTTAAAGAGGTGGGGTTTCAAATGTCTCCGGAAGGTGGTGAGTGACTCCGCTGTCCTGGCGTCGTGAGGGAGCTTGTTCCACCATTGGGGTGCCAGAGCAGCGAACAGTTTTGACTGGGCTGAGCGGGAACTATGCTTCCGCAGAGGAAGGGGAGCCAGCAGGCCAGAGGTGGATGAACGCAATGCCCTCGTTTGGGTGTAGGGACTGATCAGAGCCCGAAGGTACAGAGGTGCCGTTCCCCTCACTGCTCCATAGGCAAGCACCATGGTCTTGTAACGGATGCGAGCTTCAACTGGAAGCCAGTGGAGTGTGCGGAGGAGGGGGGTGACGTGAGAGAACTTGGGAAGGTTGAACACCAGACGGGCTGCGGCGTTCTGGATGAGTTGTAGGGGTTTAATGGCACAGGCAGGGAGGCCAGCCAACAGCGAGTTGCAGTAATCCAGACGGGAGATGACAAGTGCCTGGATTAGGACCTGTGCCGCTTCCTGTTTAAGGCAGGGTCGTACTCTCCGAATGTTGTAGAGCATGAACCTGCAGGAGCGGGTCACCGCCTTGATGTTAGCGGAGAACGACAGGGTGTTGTCCAGGGTCACGCCAAGGCTCTTCGCACTCTGGGAGGAGGACACAACGGAGTTGTCAACCGTGATGGCGAGATCATGGAACGGGCAGTCCTTCCCCGGGAGGAAGAGCAGCTCCGTCTTGCCAGGGTTCAGCTTGAGGTGGTGGTCCGTCATCCATACTGATATGTCTGCCAGACATGCAGAGATGCGATTCGCCACCTGGTTATCAGAAGGGGGAAAGGAGAAGATAAGTTGTGTATCGTCAGCGTAGCAATGATAGGAGAGGCCATGTGAGGATATGACAGAGCCAAGTGACTTGGTGTATAGGGAGAAAAGGAGAGGGCCTAGAACTGAGCCCTGGGGGACACCAGTGGTGAGAGCACGTGGTGCGGAGACAGCTTCTCGCCACGCCACTTGGTAGGAGCGACCGGTCAGGTAGGACGCAATCCAGGAGTGAGCCGCGCCGGAGATGCCCAGCTCGGAGAGGGTGGAGAGGAGGATCTGATGGTTCACAGTATCAAAGGCAGCAGACAGGTCTAGAAGGACAAGAGCAGAGGAGAGAGAGTTAGCTTTAGCAGTGCGGAGAGCCTCCGTGACACAGAGAAGAGCAGTCTCAGTTGAATGACCAGTCCTGAAACCTGACTGGTTTGGATCAAGAAGGTCATTCTGAGAGAGATAGCAAGAGAGTTGGCTAAAGACGGCACGCTCAATAGTTTTTGGAAAGAAAAGAAAGAAGGGATACTGGTCTGTAGTTGTTGACATCAGTGGGATCGAGTGTTGGTTTTTTGAGAAGGGGAGCAACTCTCGCTCTCTTGAAGACGGAAGGGACATGGCCAGCGGTCAAGGATGAGTTGATCAGCGAGGTGAGGTAGGGGAGAAGGTCACCGGAGATGGTCTGGAGAAGAGAGGAGGGGATGGGGTCAAGCGGGCAGGTTGTTGGGCGGCCTGCAGTCACAAGTCGCAGGATTTTAT